ACACACAATGACCAGAGACAAACACACAATTCCTACAGAGACACGATATGACCGAATGGAGACACACAATGACGACAAAAACACAAAGAAATAACACAAAAAAACAGAAAAATATAGATGACGCAAAGCCTCAGAGGTGGAGAACGACGGAGGCACTTAAACCCTAAATAAACACAAAATGATGGAAAAAATACACAAAATCACCGAAAACACTGAAAAATATAATGACAACCTGTTGAATCAGATTCTCCATAGAGTGACTCTAAAGACCCACCAGGACATCAGAACCCTCTGCAAAGACTCACAAAGCACCACAACCACAGCTCAGAGCACGTGTCTGATGTCTGGACAGCCTCCTGAGCTGTGGTCAAGTTCACGGTTCATCGAGCTTTTATTTTGAAACGTCAGCTGGTCGGTGGTTTTATTTTTGAAAGCCGGAAGCGGAGGTGCCGCGTGTTTGCTCTGCGGCAGCTTGACGCGCGGTGAAGTCGCGCTGCAGCTGCGGCGCTAAAACGGACGTGAAGCGGCGACGCGCAGCAGACCGGGCCGAGCGGCGGACCGCGCAGATGGCTCCGGTGCAGACCGACTGAAGGATGGGCTCCACGGCGACGCAGCCATGGCCAGATCCACCAACAGAACCGCCGAGGACGGGGACCCACGGGTGAGCGCCCCCACGGACCGGGGCGAGCCGCGGGACCTGGCCGAGCCCCGGGAACTGTCTCTGGAGGAGGTGCTGAAGTCGTACGAGCAGCCCATCAACGAGGAGCAGGCTTGGGCGGTGTGCTACCAGTGCTGCAGCGGGCTCCGGCTGCCCCGCCCGCCGGCCCCGAGGGTCCGCCGGGTGAAGGAGCCGTCCTCCATCCTCCTGCACCGGGACGGAACCGTGTCGCTGCGGCCGGAGCCCCAACACGACGGTAGGACAGCGGTTCCCTCCAACTTCCCTCCAAACACAACTGTGACAAAGTCGATTTTAACATCACTTCGCTGCTGTGCAAAACAAGTCAGTCATTCCTTCTGACTTTTTATTATATTTTAAATATTTAAACCTACTTTTAAATTCGGCCTTAAGTAACACCCACAGTTTCGCACAGTTTTAATTAAATTACGACTTTTTGTCGCCGCACCGCGCGGTTTTCTCCCAGGAACAGGTCTGCAGCAGGCGGCAGCGACCACAGCGAAACAGTGTTGTTGTGAGGAAGCAGAGCCAGCTACAGATTGCTAGGCTAACCATACCAGCGCCGAATTAAAGAGAGCTCATAAAGGTTGAGCAACATATCTTAAACCTCCTTATATGTGTCAGGATATCGGAATGGAAACAAAATAGCTTTAAATTATGCGAATTTCTAAGGGAGTCTGGCACACAGGAACATGCTGTTCATTAAAGAAACAGTGCTTCCTTGTCCCGTCCCAACAACAGAAATTCCTCCCTAGCTGACCTTCAGCTACATTATATGATCATTCTGCACAGCACTGAGCCACTCGTACACAAACTTTATGGTGCCACATTATGTAATATTTGTCGCACTGTGCCAACAACCATGACTTGTATTATGCCGGTAAATGATTAATTATTCATGGCTTCACCCGAGCATCCCCTTATGCAAACACTGTTTTGGAGACTTCAAAGGATGGATGGAAGCCCAGAGGACTGTCGGCAGCCTCCTGGTTGTTCCTCCTGCTCCATGCAGCCTCTGCCTGCATCCCATCCTGCTGCATGTCAGTATTTATGTGCTCACTGCGGCCCATGAAACCTGTTCCACAGTCTGCACGCACACAACTTGAGGCCAAACTTGATTTGAAAGGGGCTGAATATTTCCCAGCCTGTGGCGAACTCCCATCCAGAACCCCAGATCTGATTCCCGCAGGCGGATCTCAGGCCAGTGTTTCTAGAAAGTGATGTTTTATTCAGGCGCTGCTTGTAGCTGATGGCTGGAAATGAGCTCAAAGTCACAGCAAAGGTCTTCAGTCTCTGCTGCATGTGGCCCGAAGCAGCACAACACTGTCGTAGTTTATTGTTTGAGCTCAGTCACAACCAGGAGCCAGAAGAGGCCTAAAAAATACCAGAAACATAAAACGATACAGAAGAGGCCTCATGAATGTTAAAATATGAGAGAGACGGAGAGAAAAGCTCAAATCTGAATTATTATTATTAAAAAAATGTCTTCCAAAGGATCAGAAACAGAGACTGTAACAGCTCCGAGATGAAAACACAAAGCAACACAGAGAAGGTCCATAAATATAAAACCATGAGTGAGCTGGAGAGATGAGGAGAGACGTGTTGAACCTCTGGATGATGATCAAACAGGAAGCTGCAGTTTGTGAAGCTGCTCATCAGCTGTAATGAACATCTGCATCAGACACGCATTGAATAATTCAACTGTTTAAATTTAACACTTATTTTTATTTAAATTTGTTTTATTTTTTAAATTTTATTTATTTGACTATTTTGTTTTCTTATTTTTATTTTATTTTTATTTTATTATATAAAATGTATTTATTTTATTTATTTTTAATTTGATTTTTTCTGGAAACAGACGCAGGTTTTAAAACAATCAAAGTTCATAAGTTACAAACGTGTGGCATCAAAAGTTTATATGTGAAGCTGTTATTCCTTAAATATGAAAAATATCGTCCTGAGAGACACGAGACGTCTGCAAAACGATGCAAACTGACCAAAATAGAGAAACAGTGAATTACTGAGACGTGAAGAACAACCAGAACTACAACAGTCAGACAGAACAACACAAACAGGATAAAGAAAATGATTCAGACTCTAATAATCAAACAGGAGACGAATGTCTTTTATTTTTCTGTTTACATGTGAAACAACATCTGCATGGTGTTAAAGCATCAGCAGATTATCAGCTACCAACACATGAAGTCAGAAGTTCATACCAGCGACTGTTGTTTCTTCATCATTACAAACACCTCGTGACTCCACCTTCTTGCCGTTAGCGTGCACCATCAGTCTGAACCATGTGGAAACTGGGAAATGCAAAATTGAAGAGTTTAATGATTCATGTTTTAGCAGATTTATGCAGATAGAGGTTTCTTTCAGAGATAACTGAATTCAGAAATAAGACAAACGAACACATCAGACGTCTCTGCTGCTGGATTCCCAGATGAGTCTGACAGAAGCTCGTTAGCTCAGATTTAAGGTTCAAGGACTCAGTTTACAGACACACAACAGGAGACGGATTACAAAACACAACTCTGGTCGTGTGGAAACATTTCAGCTGCAGAAATAAAGGTATCGACCAGACAGCAGCTCTCAGTCTGCAGAGTGACCAACCCTGACCAGGACAGACGCTGAGACCTTCTATAGATTCAACCTGCTGAAGCTTCATCCTCTGACTGCTTCATAACGCTGAGTCATGGTCAGCAGGATGGACAGGATGTGGCTTTTTTGACGAGTACTTACAAAAAACTATTTTTTTCTACAAAGTCATGTCAATTAATTAAACATATAAAATATAAAATAAGTCCATCAGTGTTCCTTCCCCCAGTCAGGGTTCAGCAGATGGACCTTCAGCTCCATCATGGTCCTGTTGGTCTCCATCAGTCTGAACATCTGGACGCTGCAGCTTCACCTCATTTTGATGAAACTGTTCAGACTCTGTCGGGTTCCACAGGGATCAGGAGGGAACAGAACTTTAAGTCCAGTTGGACTGAGGTCTGGACTCTGACTGGACCTCCA